TAATATCAATATAGGTGATAGTCCAATTAATATCAATATAGGTGATATTCCAACTTATATCAGTATAGGTGATATTCCAACTAATATCAGTAAAGGTGATATTCCAACTAATATCAATATAGGTGATATTCCAACTAATATCAATATAGGTGATATTCCAACTAATATCAATATAGGTGATATTCCAACTAATATCAATATAGGTGATATTCCAATTAATATCAATATAGGTGATATTCCAACTAATATCAGTATAGGTGATATTCCAACTAATATCAGTATAGGTGATATTCCAACTAATATCAATATAGGTGATATTCCAAAGGTGATATTCCAACTAATATCAATATAGGTGATATTCCAATTAATATCAATATAGGTGATATTCCAACTAATATCAATATAGGTGATATTCCAAAGGTGATATTCCAACTAATATCAGTATAGGTGATATTCCAACTAATATCAATTTAGGTGATATTCCAACTAATATCAGTATAGGCGATATTCCAACTAATATCAATATAGGTGATATTCCAACTAATATCAATATAGGTGATATTCGAAAGGTGATATTCCAACTAATATCAGTATAGGTGATATTACAACTAATATCAATATAGGTGTTATTCCAACTAATATCAATATAGGTGATATTCCAAAGGTGATATTCCAACTAATATCAGTATAGGTGATATTCCAACTAATATCAACATAGGTGATATTCCAACTAATATCAGTGTAGGTGATATTCCAACTAATATCAGTACAGGTGATATTCCAACTAATATCAATATAGGTGATATTCCAACTAATATCAATATAGGTGATATTCCAGCTAATATCAATAGAGGTGATATTCCAACTAATATCAGTATAGGTGATATTCCAACTAATAACATTATAGGTGATATTCCAACTAATATCAATATAGGTGATATTCCAACTAATATCAATATAGGTGATATTCCAACTAATATCAGTGTAGGTGATATTCCAACTAATATCAGTATAGGTGATATTCCAACTAATATCAGTTTAGGTTATATTTCAACTAATATCAGTTTAGGTGATATTCCAAC